AACCATTCTATTTCGCCCGTATTTCCATCCATGTTTATATACATGTCAGCAGTGAGATAACTTTCACCTTCTTCAGTAAAAATAAGGTCTAGAGCATGCTGACGGCAAAAACTATCTTTCAATCTATCAACTGAACTGACAAGGCGCCTCTTCCATTCTCTTTGCTCAGGATTACGGTTTTGGCGATCAAAAGGTCTTCTACGAGAATCATCATTATAATTGGCCTGATTTAGAGGGGAGAGCTTCATGGCTGCACGTGGCAAGAGCTCGTCCGCAAGTAAGGATGCATTGGCAAGCAATGCGATTTGTTGTGCTTCGGTTTCAGCCATTCGGACAATTTTAGTTCCAGAGCCCTCAAAATCTGCTTCTTCTTCCATGGAGCCGGGTAAAGCTTTTATGAGCATATTAACATAAGAATTGAATACCTGGTACAATCCATCCAATGTTCTACTTCCCAACTGCATGCTTAAGAGGGGTCCTACATCTTCAAAAAAATCCTGCATGGACACCAACCCATAGTTTTCAAGTTTTACATCATGGACTCCAATATTTTTTTCATTGTTATATGAGTATTGCCTCAACAACTTTAATACACCAACTCTATATATATATATATATATATATATAAAAGATAATTCTGTAGCTAGAAAGGGGATGATGACATGTCTGGGAACAAAACGACTATCTTACAGACAATACTCGGGAGAACACACTATGTTGACTTCAGAATCATATTCACTTTGAAGAGTTAACTAGTGAGAATCCCGTGCGATGCACGGGGTTTCATATCTTAGAACATTTTTTCAAAACTTTATTTTAACAATATATTAGTCGGCTGACCTGTTTATATTAATATAAATAATATTTTAACATATATATTTATAATTTAATACAGAAAAAATAATAATTTTTACATACTTTGGTTCATCATAATACTCAAAAATATTATTTTATTCAAAAATTTATTGTAATATAATGTCATTATTATTTATAACACTTATAGAAGTAATTTTATTTTTCTATATAATGATAAATAATTATATTAATATTATTTATTGATGTAATTAATTAAAAAATATATAAGCAAATTTAATGTTTATTAGGAATATGATTATATGGAAGGTAAGATAAAATGGAATGAACAAAACTAAATTGAACAAACCCACCATTTAAGGGAGCATTTAATGTTGCCTGATTTTATGGTAAAAAAAAATAAAAAAAAATCAAATAATTTCCCAAAGTGACATGCAATTATTTTGGTGGATCTTTTTTGCTACTATTTCTAGTAAATGGTTATTCTTAATTTATATATATATAGATGATGCATTGACAATCTCAATCATCGAAACTGAGTGAGACTGAGGTACCAAAACATCACAAATATGATAAAGTTGGTTGTTCAAATTTCTGAAGGAGAAGACATCATCAGTAATTCTCAACTAAGTCCTGATATTTCACTCTGTTCAACGAATAACAAAACCAGAAAGTATTGAAAGCCACTAGCTATTGCAAATATCATCTAGATTCTACAATTGATGCCTGCTCATAAACAATAATGCTCAAGGACAATGTATTTACCTGGACCATAGAATTGAAACGATGAGCACTACTCGAGAGCTTGTGCTGATACCCCATCATGCTGCCGCTGCCAGCGGCACCAGTCCTCGACAACCGCAAGGACGCCGGTGGATGAGTGAGATCCCAATCATCAGCTGCCGCCAAAGCAGCTGTACTCTCCTCGATACGCTTCAAGTTAGCATCTAAAGCTTGCTCGACACTCGGCCTGAATAGTCTCAAGAGCACTGGACAGAGGGCAAGGCCACGGGCCTCCAACAGTGAACAGTGCCCCAGAGCTATCTGAACACACTCGGCTGCCGATCTCAAGCCGCCAGCAGCTGCCGATGAAGCTAAGGCGTGCCTCTTGACCAAAAGGGCGAAAGCTTCTGTCTGCTTTGTTGCCCACATCACAAGCTCAGATGTGTAAGATGTTTCCTTGCCGAAAATTGACGAGGAATCACTAGCCGCCTGAGCAACGGCCGAGAACACGAGCTGAGAAAGTGCCGCCGTGTATGCCCCACCGTAAGAGGTGCTTGACGGGCGGAGGCTCTGCATATTATACTGATACCTCTGGTAATGTGCATTGAGGAGCAGAGTGTGGGCACGGGGCCCATCACCGAGCTTCTTGAGAGCCGAAATTGCTGATCGGAGCTCAGTGCCCCTTGTGGAAGGCTGGCAAGCGGCCTCAGAAAGCTGATCAGCTAGCTTTTGCCGGCGTTTGGTTATGGTGATCTGCAAGGACACGACCATTTCGGGGGATAAGGTTTTTTTCTCTTTTGCCTCAGCCACGACTCGTTCTCCTTCATCGAGGCTCACCAAAGCCTCATCTATTCTCCTTTCGGCAAGCAATACATCGAGGTAGTCGGGGAATTCAGTTGACCATTTCTCCACATCAGAAGGTTCTCTAATTTCGTGGTTGGGTAGACCTGTTGTGGGAGAACCATCCGGAAGGGTGTCGGACAAAGACTCGATATGGACTCCCTCAGCTAAGTTGTGAACTAGGGTCGCCTGTGTGGATAGCAGATTTCTCATTGATGAGAGTTCGCCCTCTAAATCTGATATCTCTTTGGATGTCCTGCATATTTCGTTGAAAATATGGAATTACAAATATGTTGAGACTTTTGTTTCTATTTCCAGATAGTGGAAGTAAGGGCCGCTACTGGATCTGAATAAGCATACGTACCAGTGTCTTAAGTTTCTTTTAGTAAAATGAAGATAGTATTCAAAGTCGGGATTTTATAAAGTTTTCTTTCAGTAATTAATAATTAAATGCTTCAAGGAAGTCACGAATATCATGTCTTCAACTAAATTCGATATTGCGTTCCATTTACGGCTATTAAATATCAAGTTCACAAAAAAGTAAACGATAGAAGAAGAGGAGTTGTTATCTTGACCGGACATAACAACAATGACTCACCGTATAAATGCTGTATAATTAGCATATACACTTCTGCGCATTTCTTCAGCCGAAGCCCTCTTCAAATCCACAAGATACGAGCATAATTGTCTAATTTCCTGCAAAAGATGTTCAAATGCAACGTGTTGTGTAACCATTCTCCTTTTAATGGAGTCCAAGAGAATCCACATCAAGTCGAAGAAGTCTTAACATAAGCAATTGTAAAGTTTAAGCCAAAGGTTCAGATCAGAACTCTATCATTGTTTTTCCCTGCCTCTATCCCCAACTCTCACTACAGTCAGATACTGACCCAGAGATAGATTAAAAGTGTTTGAGCCAATTGCTTGTGAGGCAAACTAATAGCTGTAGAATTACATAATCTCATGGCACGTCAATCAGATGTGAAATGTATCAATAAATTACGTGGATATATGGATCCTGTGGTACATTGGAAATCAGGGCCTATTATTTCTAAAGGTCACTGACCTCCAAAATAGTTTATTTTATCACTTTATCCTATACAACAAATTAATTTGAATTTTTTATTACTTTACCCTACGTAACGAAATTAATTTGAAATCAGCTAACCGCGGAACACTTGGAAGCCATTCATCGGTTAAATGAAACAATATGTGCATTCTGCAATCCTCTAGTCAATATTCCTTTCATAAAACAAAACTTAATGAATTGAATCTCTGTTTATCTTAATCCAACTTCATCTATTTTCAGTACAGCCAAACCGTGGGATCAATCTAAAAGACTAACTTCGAAGATTTTCTCCCTAATTATTAGGCTGAGAATTAAAACATGATGCCATCTGGTAATTTAATCACAATTTATCATAAGGAATCTTACACACTAGTTATTATCAAGAAGTATAATGTAAGTCATATCCCCGTAATTGCATTTTTTACAACAAGAAACCAAAAGTCATAACCAATTGAAACCGGATGGACAAATTGCGAACAAGAGAACTTGTATTTCAATACAAATTATTATCCCATGATGCATTTATGCTTAAGCAAGCTACAAAAATACCCAACCAATTGAAAGCCCACAGCATTTTTTTTACTAATTTTGTCATTTATCCTTCTTCCCCATCTCCGATCAATATGTGAACAATCACGTAATAGTTGTAACCGAGCTAAAACCATTAAAAAGTTTTGGTTTTGAACCTTTTCGTTAAGCGAGTGACACTTGGTCTGCACAAAAGCATCAGCATCGTAGTTATCGGACTTGAAAACGTTGAGATTTTCCTCGAATTTCGCTCCTCCATCTTTAGCATTCCCCTTTGCTGAAGCTCCGGACAGTGCAGCTCTTGACCGAGAGGATTTTGCCGACGCCATAACCGAAAATAGGTTTATCTTTCAATAGAATATCAACTCAAACCAAGCAAACAAACAAACAACAAACAAAATCCAATCGATTGACTAAATTAAGCAAAAGAACGGATAAGCTGTGACTCGGCGAGCCAGATCCGGAACCGCGTGAGCTTAGGCAACTAACTCCGATCAAATACGATGGCAAATGAAGAGGTGATCATAGGATTTGAGGGCTTATTGCTTGAACGACGAGGATTGAAATCGCCATTGAAGGGCAAAAAATAGACAAATTGGGTTGGTTGGCGGAATGTTTGGGGAAGCAAACTTAAAATGGAGTTTGTTGTTGGTCGAGCTTTCGAAAAGGTTCATTTGTTTAAGGCACCATTAAACTAGCTTATATCTTTTTTGATTAGTTTATAAGCTCTTTGTAGAACGAGTTTATTTAAAAAGTTCGAGCTTATTTGACTTCTTTTGGTAGTTTTTCAAATAAATTCGTTGATATTTTTATTTCAGCTAGCTTATCAACTAATTTTACCAAACACTTTTATCATATAAGCTAGCTTTTCAACCATAAGTTATAAGCTATAAGTTATAAGCTCGAAAATTAATAATAAGCTATAAGCTAGCTTATCAGCTATCAGCTAGTTTATCAGCTAGTTTTACCAAACATAGCCTAAAGCTCCCAAATTTATCACCTTTTTTTATATGCATTTTACATTTACTAGCTTCCTTTCAAATTAAAACGGTTATTGCAAAAATTTCTCTTTCATGTGACTAATATCATTGTTATTTGTTGATATGTATAAAGCAATGTTATAAAAGTCGCCCCGCTAAGCGCTCGATCAGCGCCTAGAGCCGCTTAAGCGGCGTCTAGTCGGTGCCTATAAATTAATATTAAATACCTTATTTTTTATTTAGTTTAACTACATACAAAATAAAATCATCTCAACTTATAATAAGTCGACACACCTAAGTCTAAATAATTCTATTAATATATTTAAACAAAAAACATAAGAACAAAATAATGTACTTAATATTTAAAAAAAAAAACTGAAAAATTGTCACCTAGGAGCGCCTAGGTCCGTCTAGGCGCTGCCTAACCGCCTGGCCGCCTAGGCGCCGCCTAGCCGTCTAGCCGATTTTTTCTGTCGATTTGTACAAATCGGAGGCGCTAGTGCCGCTAGGCCGTTTTTTAGAGCAATGGGTATAAATGTCACAAAAACTAGTTGTCATTAATCAGTTTTTGTTATATTTATAATACACGAGACATTAGTGATTTAATTCTAGTAATTCTTAGTTTAAGCCATTAAGGTCCATTATATAGATCATATCTGGTCATCGCTTATAACTCCTTTTAACTCCAAAAAACGATCAAAGACCAAAAATTGTTCAGACTCGTTATATTGGATTAGGTACACATTGTCTTACATTGCCACTTAAAGAGATAATTAAACTTTAGTAGAGCTATATTAAACTTTAAAAGTGAACATTGCAAATATCTCTTGATATAACCTTGTGAATAACATGGTTAACTTTCAATAAGCTCAAAATTGCATGTATTAAGGTTTGAATTATGACACTAGAGAAATGATAGTTCTATTGAGTCATAACTCATAATCCTTTGTTAACCGAAGAAAACATGTCATAAATTGTAATGTTATTCACAAGGTGATATCAAGAGATATTTGCAATGTTCACTTTTAAAGTTTAATATAGCTCTATAAAAGAAACAAATATTATAACTGCAAATGTTTCTAAACTTGATAATTTGCAACAGCAAACATAAAAGAGTATATTTCATACCGACATTTGTCCCCTGAACCTTGAATTTTCTACTACCGAAACAGATTAAATGTGTCACACATGTTATCTTACTCTGTCTAATAGTCGATACAATGGCAATGTTCGAGTATCGAGAATATTGTCCACATGAAAAATTGTGCAGCACAAATGATGTTGATAGAATAATCGAACTTCCTATCGGCTCACCTACTATATTTTCGGACCATTCGCCTTGCGGCTCACCCACTTTGTTGATCCTGATAGTTTACCAGAATGAATTGTATGGAGAGGAGGTAGTTGATGTCAAGTAAGTCATCGGCTGTAATAATAGGGGCCCCATGTATACTAAGAAAGTATACCAAGAAAGTAGAACAATTAAATGGAATAAGCAGTGACAAAGAAGCCAACTACTTGTCCAATAATTGCCTAGTAATCGAATGCTCGGTAAATTCCACCCTAATGTTGGTTCCGAGTCGTCTGATCAATACAAACCCACACAACTGTGTGTGTGATTTGATGGATAGGAACCCAGATTGGATAAACAAAAGCTCTTTAGATCAGAACCCAGCAGCTAAAATAACTAAAATAAACATTTATGTTGCTCTGTCCAAATAAATACCATTACCAGATGGATAGAATGGCAATAGCATAGAGTACAATTAAGTCAAAGCATTCCAATTATTATAACATCACAAGCATAGTTGAATTCTCCAGCGAATTACAAACCCACAACAGTTTGAAAGGAAGGCAAAAGACAAAGGATAACAATGTCTGGCGAGCATTTGCTGTCGGTCAATATCTAGGGTTTTTCAGGAGTGTCCGAGATGATGGCTGAAAAAAGAAAACGGAACATAAGAACTCAAATCAGGAATTTAGAAAACAAAGACATCTACTTTCTAAAGCAAGCAGTATATTGATGACTTTCCGACAGTAAATTTCACTGTGACGCAATCAAAATGAAAACTGATACATGGGAAAGGTAAACAAGTCTTGAAATGCATCAGATTAGTAAAGAAATATTAACCACGTAGATGATTCTCTTCAAACTTCTCAACATCCAGATATAATGTACAATAAACCCGAAAAACAAAAATAAATTGCATTTTTACAGTTAGCCTGTTCTCAGAGAAACTACACACCAGACACCCTTTTCACAGGACATAAAGCGTAGAGCGTGCTCGTAATAGAGAGATGTCTATATAGGCTTACATTAAAAGATTTCTGTCACATGGAACACTCTGGATTTGGCATAAGGAGCAAGCGAAAATAACTTATTCTTAAGTCTCAATATTTATTCTTTATTACTAACAAAACCTGATTACAAATTTTCAAAGGCAATTCATGTTTTGCATTACGATTACCCCATTAAATTAGCGAAGTACACTGTCTCAAAGCTCAAGCTCAATTCCTTTCTACAACGTATAGATCCGTAAAAACTCGATCTAATGCCCTAACTGGTTTTCTACCGTTGGATCAACACACACCTATAAAGGTGTGTATTTGAGTGTGTGATCCAACAGTAAATAAAACCTCAGTGAGGGCATTACCTTACCCGTAGGATCGAATTTGCCGTATGGATCCACTCAAATGACACAACATCAAATCAAAATTAACAAAAGAAGCACACCTTGTCAAAGTCCAAGCTCAACGGTAGGGTACAATGTTCAGTTCCTAATCCATATTCTCCTCAAAGAAATTCAACAACAGAAGATCATGTACATCAAATTCTTTCCAGACCAATCAAACATCGACATTTGTCATACACAGCAAAGATACCCTCAAAATTTCAACAACACTTTTCTGGACGAAAACTTAACAAAACAAATATACCTCAGATGAACTTTCCAAAATTTGAATCCCAAATGTAAGAACCATTAAGCACATCTCAATCAACCACAATAGGCATATATCAATTTCCAACAAAAATCAATCTCGAAACCCAAAAACAAAAATAACTACTCAGGAAATGAAAAATCGGACAAACAGATCTCAATAATTTCAAAATCAGAGAGAGAGGGGGAGAAGATCAACGGAATTTACTTGGCTTTAACGGTCGGCCATCGGCCCACTCAGAGATGGCGTAATGGACCTTCTCACGGGCCAGGGCTTCTGACTTGTAGGGCTCCTTCAAACACTGCCTCACCAAATTGGCGCAGAGGTTGGAGTAGGTTATGTAGGTCATCCCGGCAGCTCTCCAGAAGGGCACCGCAGCATTAGACGCCATTTTTGCTTCTGAGCTTTTGTACTCTCTCTCACTAGCTTTCTTCGTGTGCGTGATCGTGCAAAATGGTCAGGCTTTTATTTGGGCAGTTTCTGCTGGGCCGCATAGTGACTTACCATCGTTTTGGGCCGTTCTTAAGAGGGACTGAGAAAATTGGGCCGAATATTTGGGCTGTTGTTACAGAGATGGCTTTATGGACTTTTTTTTTTTTTCTTTTTTGGTGATTGGTTGATTTAAACTTCAACTTCTATGTAAAATGTTTAATATGAAGAAGTATATTTTGCTTCTACATTGTATAGAATCATGAAAATGTTTCTTACAAGTTGCTTTTATGCCATCTCTTAAGAATAAATCATTAGTTCCTCAAGTATTAATGCAGCCAAAATTTTCTAGTTGCATCAATTGGCAATAGAAACTACATGGCCTTACAGCAACCCCAAAAATGGCCTAAAGAGAGCTAGTAATAGACGAGTAACACAGCATTAATCCAGCCATCATTTTCAAGATTGTTCGCGTAAACGTACCCCATACAAAATAAAACAAACTTAAAGCTATTCATTCTCTCAATTCACAAAAGAGATGAAGACATTGAAGACAGTCACAGGATTACCAACAAAAATTTACAAAAATTCCGCTTGCACGTGATTATTCCAACCAGTAACAGTCATTTCGTGTACCCGTTCTCGAAAGTTTTTAGGGCCACTAAAGTGAGCCCAAAGCAAAGTTGGTTTCTTGCAGAAAAGGGGAGACCATATCCATCAAAGCTCATCTCTCTTGCGGGCTAATTCCCGGGCCATCTCTCTCATCTCTTCGGGGGATGGAGGCCGTGGGGCTTCGGGTGGGTAAACCACATATTGACGCTTCACAAAAACATGAGAATCTTGCTTTAGAAAGCACAACCATAAATGGGTTTTTTGTACCAACTAAATGGAAGTACCAAGTCAAAAACATCACTACCAATCTCAACAGTAGAGTGCTTGATAAAGTAACAAACATCAGTGCAAGTAAATATCAAGTTTAACTAAGATATGTTTGCGTTTCTACACAAAAACAA